CCACTGCCTCCACAGCCCTTAAATGAGGGTGGGGAAGGGGTGGATCCTGGTTCCACCCTTCCATCATTCAGTGCATTGCATTGCATTGCATTGCATGCACCTGAGCTCCCTGGGCTGCCCTGCCTTCCCACCAGGTGCTCCATCACTGCTTCAGGCCACGACTCAGCATTTCTGCTATGAACAAGAATGTACTAAAAGTTCCATACTTTCCTGAGAATATATTCTGAATTTCTGAAAAATTTAGCACTTTGTTTTGTACTCCTTTAGCTAGCATTGAAATGATATTGCTCAGTCTACAAAAGTAAAACTGTCACCAAAGTATGAGTAATACTTCTGACAAAAATATAAGTACAAACTGAACTACAAAGAGAAAACGTTGCTTAAAGGCTTCATTTGCTTTTTGACAAAAATAACTGGATAAATTGTCCTTTTATTACGAGCAGTCTGCACTTTCAGTTAAGGGTAATGTAGGACATTTTCAATGGTGTGACACTGGCCGCTTCCATTACTCTTAACTTTAAAGGATTGTTTTTAGCAATTTTCTTCTCAGTGTTTCTGCAGGTGATGTGAGGGATGGCCTCTCTTTGAGAGGTGACCGCAGCTCTCTGTGCCTGCGTACATTTTTACCATTTGTTCTGAAACCACTTCTGGGAGACTGTTAACATTCTGTGTTCAGCGTTGTTTGCTGTTCTGCCGCTCCCAGTGCAAAAGCAAACAGCCTCATGTAGCTTTCTGTGTTTGCTTTGCAAGCTGTTTACAGGAAACAGAGTTGCTGATTTCAAGCGGTAGAACAAAATCAAGAGCAAGTTATAAGTATTAACCAGTCAACCTAATAAAAACATCAGGAAAAGCATAATTACAATTTCTGTAAGTTGGTAACATCCATGCAGGTAATGTCTGTTGAGATCTGTTTGACTGTGAGATGCTGTCTGCGTGTTTGAAAGCACCAGTGAGCAGAGATTAAATCTGTATCTTTCGTACTATGGGGCGACGCAAAATTGTGCTTGAAAATACATGTTGGGGGGTTTAATTATGTTCTCCATACAGCTATAGTTCTTCCTAAGTATTTTGTGTTGAGAAAGTCATGCCTTCTCCAGGATCAGGCCTCTAAGACTGCATTTTCATCACCTATTTAAACTGTTACTGCGAGAAAAATCCAGACAGCAAGTCTAGATTTCTTCCTGCAGGCTCTCTGATAGAATACTTCATGTTGAGATAAAGGTGGGATAATGTGGGAGGCATCAGTGAGAGATCATTTACATTTTCTTAAGTGGAATACTTTCATACTTGAGTACAAGCTGAGGTACCATTGTCTGGATTTCCAGTACTGAGGGCTTTGGACAGCCAGCACATTTAAGTGTTTTAATTTGTGTAATAAAAATTGAAACATCCAAAGTACAGAAACTAACACCTGAAGCTAATCTGTGTGAAAGCAAACAAACAAACTTATGACTTACCTGTTTTGACCACAATTGGGATGCCTGGCTTGGGGATGGGAAGGCAAGGCTTTACAGTCATCAGAAATCCACAGTGCTGTTTTCTTACCTGTCACCTACAGCAGAAATGTGTCACGAATAATTTGCTGATCTGCTTTTTCTTTGGTTTTTAATATGGATGCTTCTTCCATTGACCCTGTGTTCCACCCATCAGCCAGCAGCTACTCTTCAGCTGTAAAAGGAGCTATTAGAAGACTTGTCCCTTTTCCCCTTTCCCTGACAGCTAGCATAGCAACCTGTGTTTTTTGCAGATACACTTCTTATTAAAATCAGTCTTCAGAAGACTGAACAGGGCAATAAGGCAAGAATCAGTGTTTCAGCTCTTTCCTGTAGCAATGTCACCTTTAGTGGTGTCAGATGAAAAATAATGTATTATTCTAAATTGAGTTGTGTTGCATTAAAGTTCTTACACTTACTTATGAAAGCCTATGTGCCTAAGATGGCTAAAATACAGTAATCTTTGTAATTTATGAATAGTGCTTGCTGGAAGGTCATTTCCAGACATTCTAAAGTTCAAACCCAAACCTGCTGGGTGACCTACAGTAGGCTTACTGCCAGCGCTACGTAAAGATGCGTATCGAAACCACCACCAGTCCTTCCTTCTCATAAGGAAACACAGAACATGGTCTCCCTGTTACCAGCAGTAACAACAAGTGCTTTCTTCCGTAGAGTGAGATTGGTGCAGAAGAAGGAGGCGAGAAGGAAATGGAAATCTGGATATTCCAGATATTCAAAACTTCTGTGCCGTGTCTGTGTATTTCACACGCGGTGGAAAGCTCTCTGGAACTCTGTAATACAGAATAACTTAATATGAGAAAGGAGAAGAATATATTGCATTCACAGCACAATCATTGTAAATAAAAGATAAGTTGCTCTAAATCCACTTTTTTTCCTAATTTTGAAATTCCCCAACTTTCTTGTAGCTCGTAGTCCTTCAGATTTAGCGACAAGAATTTAGGAACGTGACCTGAATGTACAGTTTGTCATTCTGCAGTGTGGAATTTCCATACCTTTCTTTCCTAGACACCTATTTTAAATTACACCAGGAAGAAAAGTTAGGAAAAACGAAGCTGTACACTTAAAAATGCAGTTTTATACATTCAAATTGCAGCACATCACAACAGCACAATGAAACTCCTTATTTCAGTAACGCACTGAAGGTAGATTCACATAAATACTTCAGTGCTGTATCAGTGCCAAAAGGACTAATGTCCCTCCTGCGTCCCTGACCTTTTTTGTCTCACCTAAAACACGGGTTTGTGAGGTTTTGTCTAACAGAACATCGCTGCTATTAACTGTAACAATCTATCTTTACAGCCTTCACTAGCTGAAGGAATCAGGAAGTTTTCCTGCACATTCATTGAATTCTTCTCGTGTTTTCCCAGCTGTCCCCTTGTAGCTACAACAACTGGCAGGTGCTAAGCTCCTTCATAATACTTGGAGTGTAAAGTCCCGATTTGTTTATTGTGTGGCAACTGTACTGATAGCATTTACAATGTCACAGTTACACTGTGGGTCTGTGCATAGAGTTTATTGCACAAGAACTAAGTGTGACACTGCTTCTACAACAAAGCCAAATATGGAAGAAACAAATGTGTTGCACGCCATTGATCTGTGCAGCTGAATTGCAGACATCTGTGTTAAAAGGAACATCAGGGAGAGGAACGTCTTTTCTACTCCATCAAAACTGTTAGTTAAAAACTGCTCTGTGTCACAGGCTTATTATTTTCAGTCTCACTCACTTCAGACTTAACATAAAGATATGCAAAAGCTCATCTGCACTTTGAAACTGTAGAATGGGGATTTTTTTTTCTTTTTTTTTTTCTTTTTTTTTATTTTCAGGAGAAATTTTCTAGTTAAAAACCCCTGCAGGTGATTATTGAAAGAAGTATTGGACAAAACGTTTCTCCTGCCTGGTGCTTGCCACGAGTCAGGGAGGGCTGAGGGCTGGGAGGGAACTTGTGATGGTGCTAGCAGTAAATGGAAGGCCTGCTTGGCAGGGGAAGAGCCCAGAACTTGATATCCTGCTGGTGAACAAAGGGTGTGACTGTCCTTCAGGTCCAAAAGAACACGTCCACGTAACGCGAGTTTGCTCATAGGAAAAGTGGTGTGACTTCAAAGGTCTCCAAAACCTCATCATGCTGTAAAATATCCACTGTGAAGAGAGGTAGGAATGCACTCAGCAATACAGTAATTACGCATAATAATGCTACAGTGTGGAGAGGTGGGGAGAGGTTGTCTGTGTGCATTTCCTTCTCTTGAGGCTCCTTAGGCTTCTCATAGAGATGACTGCAGTCACTGGGATAACGCATCCTAGTGTGAGCATCGCTGTCGATAGGGATTTGTTACTGAGTGGTGAATGTGCCCAGAGCTCACCCCACAGTCAGCATTTCCTGTCCAGCTGCATGGACGGAAATCTAACAATCTTTTGATAACTGTTTTCTGGTTCTGCAAAGCAAAATAACAATAACTTGATAATGACAATCTATTATTAATGTAATTAAGTGAAATTAAATCTGTAGAGAGCACAGTTTGATTTCACTTATTTATTTTTAAATGATAACCATTTTACATTTGAAGCTAAAATAAACCCAGTGGACTTTTCTGCTGTTTCTCCTTTCTAGCTGTAGAGATTTTCTATACAAGAAACAGTGAGCTTTAAGTGCCCATACAAAATTGTTTGGAATGCAATGAGAACATTTTTATTTTGTTAAAAGAAAATCCATTCTTAGTGAAAAAAATGCTAAGCTGACCATAAGGTTATACCATCTTTCAAAAGCAGTGTCTTGCTAGTGTTTGGCATTCAGAACTTTTTCCTTCCTTATTAATAAGCAAAATGGACATCTGAGCCTGTACTTCTCTGAAGCTGGGAACAGCCATCCCTTCTACTTCTGTGACATGGCACTTATGTGTTGCTCTCACTACTGACAAAGACAAGCAGGAGAAGAGGAAATGCAATAGTTTAGGATAAATGAAGCTAGTTGTACTTAAAATAAAAATTAAAAAGTGAGTGAAAACTCATGGGCAGTGGAGAGAAAAGAGTTGTTGGCTTATTTAAGCAGATAAATTGACCCTTTCAGCTGGAATCCTGTTTCACTTGCCTTCGAAAGATGACACCTAGCACCCTGTCCTTCACTGGCTGCTTTAATCTAAAGAAAGATCTGTCATCTTGTCCCACCTTACTGCATCACTGCCATCTCCTGGATAGCATAAATGTTCTACTTTCAGAAGAGACTGTTGGACAGAAAGCAAGTGAAGTGTGCCAGCAGCTACAGAACCTTTTTAGCACCTCATCTTGTGGAAACTTCTGGGAAACCAGCTTAGAGGTTGCAGCTGAAGCAGTTAGTAGGTCAGGCCAGCTTTTCCTATGGAGCATTAATGAAGTACAGTTATAATGTATTTATAATAAAATAGGATTGAAAAAAGGGACTGAATTCTTATATAACAAAGAGTGATTGAAAATGAAATACAAGGTGCTTTTCACTTCTTCAGGAGTGAGGTTCTGTATTTCCTAATTTTGTGATAACTTTGTTTCGGTGCTACACAGACCTCCAATCTGCCATAAGTAAGGTAGGAGGAGAGCAGCCAGCCTTTCTACACTGCTAGAGATGGAAACAGTAGCTGAGTTAGTGGAAACTTCTGCTATTCATAGTTCTACTTTCCAAGGTCATTTATAAGGTTAAATCAAGCTCAATGTTCACATTGAGAATATTTTCCTCTAGAATTGGTACTGTGCCTTTTGATGTTCAGTATTCTGCATATAAACTTTTGATGAGTCTGCTGGAGGAAAGAAGGAAAATCAAACCTTCAGTCTTTCATTCTTAAGCATGAGCTTCTCTGTAGTTCATACGTTGCCCCACCGTCTGTCGCAGAGCCATTGGAAGCTCCGTGTGTTCACTGATAGATCAGCTGTTCAGGTTCTCGCTGTGCCTCGTGCTGCATGGCCTTCTGCAGCCTGAGACGGGCACACGTGTCTGTACTGCTGCCCTCAATGCCCACCTGTGTGCGATGGCTCTGGGTTTTCATACAGCACATCCAAACAGTGCGTGTCATTGCAACCCCCTGAAAGACAAATCAGACATTCAGAATGAAGTGGGTGTGCACTTTCTTGATACCATCACGCTCTGCTTCAAGGGCCTAAGAAAATAGAGGGAAATATGACAAAGGGCGTGCTGGCTGTCCTGAAACAGATACATGTCACATGAGCTTCACACACAGCAGACATCTTTCATGTTGCAACTGAAACCCCGGAAAAGATGCCCTGAGTTTCACCCGTGTGTGCATGCAACGTTCACTTGATTGTGACTAGTGTTTGTTCAGAAAATAGTAATTAATTCCACAGTGGGGGAACTTGCATTCTGTGCACAGTAGGTGTGTGTTCCCTGGCAGCTCTCCTAACTTACCCAAACACAATGCCATCACTGCTGGTGAGGCTGGGCAGGCATGCAGCCATTCAGCTGATGCTAAGCAATCAGTTTTTCTTCACCATCTCCTCCCCCAGGTACATCTGTTGGGAGAAAAAAAAAAAAGGAAGAAAAAAGACCTGCAAGCCTGTGTAGAGGGAAACCTAATCTTATTTGTCTTCTTCAGTAAGGCAAACATATGGAAAATGGAAAACAAATGACAATGTTGCAAAGAAAATCACATCGTGCATGTAACTAGCTTGTAAATCCCCTAACTGAAATTCTAGCTTTATTTTGTCTATACAGTAAGCTCTTACTAATTCATGATTTTTGAGAAAAGGATCAGTTGGAGATGTCATTTACATTCTAAGGAGGAAAAAACCAGTTTCTCTTGGAATTCCAGAGAAAAGCCTTTAACCAAAAGGTTTCACTTTGGATACATGTTTGACACTGCTGATGGCAGCAGTTGCAGATGGCTGTGATTAACAAGGGCAGCGACTCCCTGCTGGAGTTGTATTCCATGGAGCACTCAGCACAGCGCCTCACCTCTTCACCCTTGTTTAGTACTGGCAACACATCAGGAGCCTCATTTTGCAGCTGGATGACCCGTGCTTGTTGCAGTCCTGCTCAGACACGGGTGGCTCTGCTGCACCATGGCCCCGAACTGATCGGCCTAAGAGCAGCAGGGCCTCCAATGTGCGAGTTCAGGCTTGTGCTTGTGTGCTCGCTTATTTCCTTGCACCTGCCTGGAAAGGCCCACAAGCTGCCTGTTCAACACCGCTGCAGCTCCAGTACCAGAAGCTGTTGTAATTAAGGCTTCCAGGGCCCCACGGAAGATCTGTCACCTTAATGCAGTCTGCTTCATACGTTTGGGTTAAGAAACAGCCTCTGTCAGTCCTTACAGATATTACGAATGGAGTAACAGGTGGAAAAACAAGTTTGCCATTTTTCATGCATTATTTATGTGGCATACACTCTTCCTTTCCTTTTTTAATTAACATTAAAATTTAGTTACCATACTTACCAATCATCAGAAACTACATAAATATTTCATGCTAATTGTCATCTGTTCAATGATACAGTAGGTTTAAAACAATTTAATCTCTGATTTTTTTTTTCTTTGAGAGAATAAGATGATGAGAACAGGCTGGGAGAGAAAAGGGAAGGAGACCAGCAGGCTGGAAATTGCTAAAATGGAAAGTCACGCCTCTCTTTAAAATAAGCTTTTCTTGTTCTGTTTAAATTGTAAAATAGGAGCATCACACCACAAACAAACTTAGAGGAACTGGAAATTCTCATAGTCTTGATAATTGCTCATGTATTCACTCGTGATGCTGTTTGCCTTTGGCACAGAGGGAATGGGCTGTCAGTGTTAATGCTCATATTTGTACGTATTTGTTTGTCTGTGCTATATATGGACATACAAAGATGGATGTACTGCAATATAGCAAACACTTCAGGAAGCACAGAACCTGGCGTACAGCACTATCAAAGTAAAATGGTAAAAGGTAACTCCAGCAGAAGAAAGTATACCACAGCTAGAACACAGCCTGAGCACAACAGCTCTGGTCTCTTGCTAAAGAACTTTGGCTATGATGCAGCTGGAAAGAAATTATTCAACTGAATAAACACAGAGGCTGTAGGTCCTTCTTTTTTTTTTTCCTGCTTGATTTTAACATTGAGCAATTGAAATTTTTACTTTGGTCAAACGTACACGAAAAGCATGTGCATGGCTGGAACGTATTCCAGAGAGGAGCTGCACAGCAGCACAGGCAGTGGAGTCTAACGAGGAGGAGAAAGTAGAGCAGTATGAGCTCACTGCCACCTAACACCATTGGAGCTCAACTCTTAAAATTAGCAGCAGTGCCTTGTATAATCCTGTTTACTGCTCATTGGTTTTGTCTGGTCATGAAACCATGATGTTTAGGCATCTTCTGGGCTCTGAGGAACGTTGGAAGGTTTTTTCTTTTCCCTGTACCAATCAGACTTTAACATATCTAAAAACATTTTAAGTAATTGGAAGTAGTGTAATGTCCAGGGGGGGAAAAACAGCGTATGAAACATAGCTATGGAGAAAGTGGGTCTTCTCAACAGTGAGCATTACCCTGGTTTGGGATTGTTCCCTAAGTGCTGTGGGTTGTGCAACCTTAGAAGAAAAACAGTGCTTTGAAAGCAACTTCATATCAAATGCTGGAATAGTTAAAGAGGTGCTAAAAGCGTGGCACTGTGTGTTCCGAGGGAAGAGGACTCAAAAGGGCTCTGATCCCATGAAAACTACACCATATCTTTAACTGCATAACAGTGTGAGGTGCACTGACTGACTTCATGGCAGCTCCTATATAAGGAAAGGAGGTAAATCTGCAAAGTGAGGCATGAGCTTTGAATTTTACATGTCTAAATAATAGCAGAATGTTCCATTCCATTCTTCCTGATTCATGAACAGTATTATTTGGATTTCACTGTGTGCTACATGAATGCACAATATTTGGATAAAGCAGGCTTTGTTCATGTTAATCTATGTCTAATTTGTTTCAAGTGAATTCGTTTACTTACAATGCAGAAATATCTACTGCTCACAATTTTAGTGAGAACTTGGTAGATTTTGAAGTGCAAATTGATCTGAGAGTCCCATTTAGAAATTGAAAATCTTCTTGCTTCTTTGTTTTATATATGGTGGCACAGAATTCTGCTCAGCAAAACATACCTATCCACTCAGAAGTGCTTCTTCTGGGTAGTCGGGGCCTACCACGTATAGCAGACTTCAAACACTCTATTATCCTCTGAACTCTCTTCCCTTTTGCTCTGCTGTAGGTTTGACTCCTCTTTTTCTTTTTTATTCTTCCTTCACCCTCTGCAGTCACCTTCATAACAAGCACTGACTGGTCACGTGTCAGTGCCACTTTATAAAGCTCAGCACAGACAGATTTACTCCTTGCTGCTCGCTTCACGTTCGCTCATGCAGTAAGGAAAGGCAGGCTTCACCGAGGCCTGCTGATCTATGTGCACACGAGCATTAACTCCACAGGTTGTCTCCCCCCCCAAGAATTCCGGGCAAACTGCATTAGAAGCAGAGCAGTCAGTGGTTTGGAAACAACACACTGTTTTGCCTTTTCTTATTTTTTCATTTATATTAATTTCCATTAAGACTTTATGCCTTCTTTCAAGTATCTGCTGCACAATCCAATCCTGCAATAAATCTTTCCTATGAGGGAATGGTAAATTGAATGTACTTGAAGCTTAACAGATGTTTAGGTCAGTTATACTTGTGTTGCACTGTATTCTTCTGAGACTTCCCATTTCACCTCCTTTCAGGGCTAATGGCTTCCAATGACTCTGCTTCCAGCTTTTCTTAATCATCGCTGCCTTTACTCTGGGCAAAGGGCAACTGGGAAGAAAGAGCATCCTGACAGAAGTGGGAGCTCTGATATGCCTGACCTGTCCTGTCTCCATGCTTAGCTGTGACTCAGCCTCTTGCTCTTGTTTAATACAAATAATTACATGGCTTCATCTTGAAGACGTGAGGTTACTGGACCTGCCCTGAATGCAAAATAGGACAGGAGATAAAGGAGTGATTCTAATGGAGCGCTTTGTCCCCAGGCATCTAACAAAGTCTTTCTAGTGAGACTTGATGTTTTTCCAGTGGCCTCCTCTAAAGATAAACAGAATCCTAACTATATTTCAAGTAGGTGATGAAACCAGTAATTTTATCCATTAATATTTTAAAAGTTTAAGTGATTTTCTTGGTAACTGCTAATATTTGCTTCTCTGACAAAACTGGACCAAGTTCCATTTTTGTTTCTATTTTGAACTAACTCTTCCTATCTTCTGTTCTGAAAAACAGACAGCATTCAGAATAAGCTAGAAAGACAAACAACCACTAAAATTGCTCAGTGTGAGCAGTGAGATTGAACTGTAACTGCTGCAGAAGCTCTATATTCTGGCCTTATAATGAAGATGCTTACTATCTCTTCTATTTTCAAGCGAGGCTTTCTGTTAGAAATCACTTTCCTTGTTTTTCATCTACTGTGAAGACAATTTTTCAGAGATGCAATGCTGTGTGTGGAGGAGTGTTGTGTATTTTGGGTTAGAGGTTCCTATTTATTCTTTCTACAAACAAAACCAGCAGACCATTAATGGAATTCTAGCCTGTCTTGCTTTCTTAACAGAAAACACAGGGACAACAAACGACCTTGGGTAAGCCTAAAAACCTCCCTCAAGTTTCTAAGGTTTCAGCTTAAGAGATTGTTCTACTGTGCACTGAACCCACCTGAAACTGAAATAAATCCACCGTGCAATTTGACATCACCATCCATGGCCATATTTCAGACTGCAGGCAAATTGCACAGCCCAGGTTCACCTGCTCTACATGAGAGATGTTTGGTATATTTTTAAGGTCACTTTTCTTTTAAGGTGAGACGTTTTCCCAAAGTACCCATCTGTAAGAAGTTGTTTCCTCTCTTCCCTGCATTGCAGTACTGAGCTGATATTAACAGAACAGAATGTGTGCCTATGCACATCTATGAATACATTTTTATTTTCTAAAATAAATGTGGAAATGTTTAATATATATTTCTACTGTTTCATCATACAAAGGTTTTGTATTTAGTGTGGGGGGAACGCAAAGCAAAAAAAAATGGTATATTTGAAAGTGAAGTGCTGTAATAGTTACGTTTATCATGAAGACTGATGGTTTGGGTTTGTTAATTCACTGCATAACGTGATGCCTAAAGCTGGTTTGGTTTACAGTATGTCTGTCATAAGCTGGACTGAAGCAGTCTGTTATCATGCAGTCTAGTCATATTCTGTAGTGTATTTGCATGGTTGCTAGCTCTGGGGTTTGACAGTAAATGATGACAAGGTCGAGACTTGGTTACTGTGTATTAAGAGGTCTCATTAAACCTGATCATGAGCAGCCTTAATACATAGCAAAATATCTTTAATTGACGTGAGTAATGCACTTGTCCTCACTTCAGGTAGTTTTCTTGACCTTTTTACAAACTGAATAATTACTAAGCACCACAGCCTGGCCCTCGCTGATGTCATTATTAGTCTAGTGACCTACTGTGTTTATTAGAGCTATTTTATAATTCGCAGTTGTAATCAAAATCAACTTACTGTCCTGAAGTTGTTTGGTTTCCATCCCACTTGGATGCTGTGACGTGGAGGTCTGGGCTCATTTTACCTTTCCTGAGTTACACTTCCACAAAAACATTTCTCCTGCATAAATCTGAATCAGGAGGGCTGTCCAAACGTGGTAACTCATTATCGCAAGCTGGCGATAAAAGGCCACGGCAGACGTCCACTTACAAAGCGTTCTCTATTTAAAGAGAAGCGTCTGACCTCTAATGTAAACTATAACTTAGATCTTAACGGGGCCACGCGCTCACTGTGAGCTCTTTTCAAAGCATAAAAGAGGAGGCGAGGCGGGTGAGCCGCACACCCAGTGCCTCTGCCTTACTGGGAGCAGTGAAGAGATCCCAGTACAGAATGGGTTTTGTCTGACGTGCAGTGCATGGGGAGCCTTCGGTGAGGGGAGAAAGAAGATACGATGAGAGAAACGGTCACTGACATTTAAAAACAAGATGTGTTCCAGGGTGTGCAAAGAAAAGAATCCCGGAAAAAGAAGGAAATGTCGATTTCAAAGTTCTCTTCATCTCAGGATACGTTTGGGCAGTAGTCTTTGCAATAAAGGCTAAAAAAAAAGTGGCTAGTTTTCTACCCAAGTATTGAAAGCCGAACGCCTTGAAGGCTGCGGTCAGCTGCAGTGCGAGACAGAAATAACAAGCCCTGAGCGCCAGGTTTTCCACCGCACGCTGCGGTGAATGGGCCGCTTCAGCGCCGCAGGGCAGGGCTGCGCTCAATGCCCGCCTTGTGGGCTGCCTGGGGCTGCCTGCCCGAGCGCCGTGCTTTGGCAGCAGCTCCTCCCAGCACACATGGGCACGGAGTGCCTGTGCACCTCCTTAAAAAGCAGCAGTAACGCACAGGGCGATTTTCTGGTGGCCGTTCCAGCATTCACCACGAATGTTTATCAACTGCCAAACGGCTCTGTGTTCCGCAGATGTGAAGCCAAGCAAACTTCACAGTCTCACGTGGGTTTTTTTTCCCCAGTTTCTTTTCAGACTGTATCACTACTTGGTGGCTCTTTTCACAAAACTCCTCTGATTTTGAAATGCCACTACAGTGAAAAACGTAACTTCTCAGTTGATTTGAGTGAAATAAGAACTACAGCCTAAATTGCACTCACTTCTGCAGCCTTACAAACAACCAGGTCGCTTACTGATGGCCATTACTTGAAATGTTTGTGTAACTACACTGTATTTACTTTTCTACTGCGTAGGAAATAATTACTGTAGTGACTGTCACTTCTCACAGTATTTACTTCTATATTTTTAATCACCAGCACCCTATCACTGTAGGCTGTTTGCATGGAACTTCCTATCCTGGTTTTAGTGCCCACTGCCTCTTCTGGGCATCATGAAAAGAGCCTGGCCCCATCCACTTGTCTCCCACCCACCAGATATTTGTAAGCATCAGTAACGTTACCCTTCAGTCCTCTCTTCTCCAGGCTGAACTGCCCCAGGTCTGCCATCCTTTCTTCATAATGGAGATGCCCCAGGCACAGGGTTACCAGAACCCCAACGTACACCATGGAGGGATGGGTCTTGATGGCTGGGGAAATGTTGAGAAAAGAAGAGATAAGAAGTTCTGCCATTCATTTTGTTTAGCTGAATTTGCTAAGGAAAAGAAGCTGAGAAATCTGCCTTTCCTGTCTATGAGTTAATGCCATACAGACAGGCTGTAATCCCTGATAAAACAGCATGAGAAATAAATCAGCATACGTATCAGACCTGCTTTAGCAGGTGTGCTGTCAGCGAACTGCAGCGCTGACGCTGTGGTTAGTTAAACATTAAGGCCCGGTTTGCAGGCTGAGTGGACAGCAGTTGTTTGCACAGCAGCTGCTATCTCCAGCCTCCATGTCCTATGCCCCACATCGGCAAGAACAGTCTCTCACTGAATCAGTCACGTTACTTTGGGAGAAGGAAGGAGTTACTTTGCCTGTCACACCAAGTCTTGCTTGCACAATAACACAACTGATTATTTTCCTGTCATTTATGAGCTTCTTGGTTTGTTTGTGGCCAGATACACTTAATTATTTAAACTGCTGTGCTAAGAAACAGCAGGAAGTTTCCTATCTCTCTTAATATAGCTAACAAATGTATTAGTTACATGTATTTTATTGCTGCTTGTTAACCAGCTTCAGAACTCTAGGAGAGAAAGAAATACGGTTGTGTGTTTCCCAACAGGCCAAGTTCTGGTAGAAATTTCAAGAACACACAAGAAACTCAATGACAGTCTAGAGGAAAGTGTAAGTTCAACCATTTCTTAACCTACCTCAGCTTTTGAAATTAAAAACCACTTCTGCCGATTTTTAATAACCCTTAATTTATTTGCTTTAAAGTTTAAGAAATTTCATAAGGAAATTATATCTGAACTGGAGAGGAAAACAGACCTGGATGTAAAATACATGACCGTAAGTACATTCAGTTCTAATACCAAAAAGGGCATCTTTTACTTATCGGTCGGTCCCCAGCAGTTTATTAATCCCTGTTAGATCTGAGCTCTACTTAAACACGGCGCAAGCATTTGTGCTTATTTTGAGCTAAAATAGGGACCAGTGCATGACTTCATAGCATCCTTAACCCACAGCTGAGAAAAGCAGTCGGTTGCCTCATTTGACATGCATTAGCAATATCTATGGTAATGCTTTCTAGCTGCTTACACAAGCAGCATTGCGGAGCGCACTGAGATGTTTGTAAATGCTCTGATTGCAGGCGACTTTAAAGAGGTACCAAACCGAACACAGAAGTAAATTGGATTCCCTAGAGAAGTCTCAGGCTGAGCTGAAAAAAATTCGAAGGAAAAGCCAAGGAGCACGAAACGTGATGAAATATGAGCATAAAGAAATGGAGGTCAGTGTATCGGCTCTTGGTTTGCTTTTTTCTTTTTGTAATTTTATTTTGCATGAGAACTGGTCAGCAGAAAACACGAAGCTGTTGCAGGTCCTATCTGGGTCTTTCAAAGCTTGACTTCTGAAGCCTACAACAATTCTTGTGCACGCAGTGTAATTAGTTAATTCACAGCTGCCCAGCACGTTGTTTGGCAAGTTAAACTAACTTCAAAGAATGCGTATTTTTGATTTCTCAGAGCTGCTGTACGTTACAGGCACTCCTACAATAATTACTGCAGCTCAAATTAAATGCTGCCTGCGCTGCTGTACGCCTTCAGAGGCGTTACTTCAGCTTCAGGGTTTCTTAGATGGCCACTGCTTGGAGAGCGGCCTTAAAGCACCTCAGGAGCTGCACCTTTGTGCAGCAGTTCACTCAGCCACGTTGTGTAAACGCAGCAGTAATTTGCTACTAACGCGTTTCCCGACGTAGCCCTACGACTGATTCATTGCCTTCGCGGCTGTTCTTACACAGCATTGCCATCTTGAGGCCAAATAAGAAAAGGCAAGGCGGTGCAGACAGAGGACTTGTTATTTCAAATAAAACAGAAACTATTTTCTGACACACGATGTTAGGTTAGCTGTTATATTTTTTCCTCTCTATTTTTCTATTTTTTTTCTTTAAATAAAGCTTTGTTTATAACAAGGCACGTAAACATAAATCACACCAGCTCTTACTTCTTACAGTGTGTTTTAACCCACATTCAGAACAGTTCATTTTTAATGTACCGGACTGAGAATTTAAGAATTAGCCTTTAAGCACATTTTAGCCACAAACTCTCATAAGCTCAGATAAATACATTTCAGTCTCTTTAGTAACTCATTTTTTCCTCTCTAAGATGAAGTATAGATTCATTACAGCTTTGTGAGAGTAAATATAACTGCTATAGAGCAGATGAAGGTAATCAGTCCAGTTAGAGAACACCTGTGGCCTTAAAGCTGCTGCTTTGAAGTCACATTCTTCTTTGTTACAGCATTTAATTTAGAAGACAGAATTATTTTTCTTGTTTTGCTTCATTGTCTACACACACACACAGAGTAGAATCATAAAATCATTTAGGTTGAAAAATACTCTTAAGACCCTCAGGTGCAACCATCAGTGACCAACCAAGTCCAGCCCTACACCATGTGCCACGTCCACACATCTCTTCAGCTCCAGAAACAGCAGCTCCACCAGTACCTGTGCAGATGGTCCAGGGAGGCCCAGCCACCATGACAGAATTCCTCCCGACTTCTGAATCTCCTCTGGTGCTTCACACCCCAATACTGATTGCCTGTAATAGAATACATGTGTGTCTGATGAGATTGGAGAAGTCAGATGTGTGCATAAAAAGAGAATGACTTGGAAGCAGAGCCACTCCACCCCACCTTTCTGATAACTTTTTTTCTTTTTCTTGTCTTTTTGGAACACGCTTCAGTAACTGGAGAGAGTATCAAATAAAACTCACAGACTGTATGTGAATTATTTACCTTTTTCCCTTAGTATTTGGAAACCGTGAGCTCTCGACAGACTGACATTCAGAGATTCATTGCAGAAGGCTGTAGAGAAGCTCTACTTGAAGAAAAAAGAAGATTCTGCTTTCTAGTTGACAAGCACTGCAGTTTTACCCAGCACATGCACTTCTATCACGCTCAGGTTGGTGGCATGCATGTAAATAAACATGAAGCTCCTGAAATCTAATCATATCAGAGATCTTAAAATCTCTCCTAGCATCTAGATGAGAGTGCCACAAATAGTTCAGATAGCACTGGGAACAATGCAGTGCCAGATGAGTGCTGTGATCTGCTTGTAGAGAATGTCTGCAATGTGATATTCTCGTAAAGGTGCTGTTGCAAACGGTGAAAAGTTGCTATGACTTCTTAAAAAATCACACATTAAGAAGTTTGGTATTTCTAACATCTGACCCTGAAAAAGGACTGTCTCTTTCTTCTATATACTTCAAAGAGGTATTACTTAGCCTTGAATATGTTTGAAAAGACTTCCATTTCACTTCATTTACCATTTTCTAACAACAAAAATTAGCAAGTAGTTCTGTGTAATTTTATGTCAAATGTATCTTTGATGAGTACCTCTTACATTTGGATGCAGTGTGCAGAATTCCTCAATGCCAAGCTGCCTGGGTGGCAGGAAATCTGTAGTGATGCCACCAAAGTTCCTGAAAAAGTCAAAATGATGATTGATGAAATAAGGACACCTGGTTCCACTCCAATATCAGGAACTCCGCAGCCTTCACCAATGATAGAGAGAAACACCGTGGTATGTCATTCCCTGATGGTTAAAGGCTCTCTTTCAAATGGGTCCAGATTGTCTTCACTGGTTTCTATTGTACTTAAGCATTTGGATTCAAGGCTGTAACGTGCATCAGCTGAAATACGCTGGGGTTGGGTGGGAAAGCAAAACCATGAAGCTGAATGGTTTGCTGCTGGAGAAATGCAGAGTAAAGCAGGCAGAAGCTCACAGGCAGAGAAGGCTGTTTCCAGTTGGGTGTCCAGGGCTTTCCTGCAGACACAGCCTTAGGACCACCCTAGTTTTTGCCACTCTATTTCCAACACTTCTGCCTGTAAGTGCTAGGAATATTTGAGGTTCAAGATAAACAAAATTTTACCCTTTCCTTCTTCCCTCTGATTCTTATTACAGAATATTGAAATATAGACATTAGATTCTCAAATAGACATTAAATTCTCAATTCCCCTGTTTGCACGTTGTGTTACCACTGGTTATTGAATTTCTAAATTCAATACCTCCAAAAGTTAAGAAGTGTACTGATCTGTGCATGAGTGGGCTGTTTGTGAAAACTGGGCTTCCATAGCATTTCCACTAGTTGCTGTGCATCAGGGAACAGGATCCTTGCAAACTATTCTATCAGAAGTTTCATAGCAAGGTAGGCCCAGCAGAAAGGCCTTACATAGGTGTGATCTGGGAAAACCTGAGCGTTGCTTTCTAGAGGTTATGTTGCAAACACAGGAAGTCATGTCACCTCTCTTAGGACAACATTTTTCTGATTCTAGATTGGAAACAACTTTTATGCTCACAATGAAAATGCATCAAAGGTGCCCCCTGCTCCTGTTGGCAGGGCGTACACCAGCCCTCTTGTGGACATGTTTAACAATCCTGCCACGGGCCCAAAGGTGTCTCCTGAAAGAGCAACCAATGCAGCAGGTGAGTGGCATTTCACTGCAAGCCACGTGTGTGCAGGGGTGTGTTAACAACCCGGAATTCTCTTTGGGATTTTGTGACTACTACCAGGATTTGAATTCCAGGATGTGTGGGGGAGTATAAAATGGTCTCTGCAGAGTGTTCATGCATCAGTTATCTAACAGGTGAAGTGCATGTCATAAGGAGGAAATAACTGTTCACAATTAAATGAAGCTACCTATCGTAAACTTTCACTTCCATCATTTGCCATGCATCCCTGGTTAGCACAGCTCAACTGTCTCTGTGCCCTCAATCCTACCAGAAGAATACACTCTATGATTTTGGACCAGATGCACACCATTATTTCTGTGCACACTAACAGACAAGAACATTGCAGTCTTGGTATGGTTTCCTTGAAGAGTGTACAGCAGCCAGGAAAAAATGCACGTGGGACAAAACAAGCTGTTCTGTACTTCTGAAATGTAAAATGCTGTTATTTTATTAGTATTTTATTAGTTTGTAAAATATGAGTCTTTGACTTACTCTGCTACAGGGAAAGAACTAAGCCTACATCACAACAAAACAAATGCAGTGCTAGAACAGCAATTCCAGCATTCCCTCCTTAAAACTGCCTTTAATGTGCATTATACTGGTCAAATAACACACATTCATCTTCTGGAAAACATCCCATACCCGCAGAGTGCCAAGTGTCTGCAGTTCTCATTGATCCAGGTGAAGCTCAGTGCTGGACATGAGAATGAAATCAAATCTTGGGCTTGTTTTAAGAATGGAAAATTTTCAGAGTCTTTTGCAGCTGCTTCTGGTTAGCATTTCTTATGCCAAGCAGAAGAAAGCAAATTAACACTTACATAACTTTCTATGTCTGTTGGTTCAACGTTGCTGTGGTAGCATGTGTGCATGTATACAAATACCAATGTTATGAAGAACTCTGGTGATAAGAAACATTGGTAGATAACTGAGAGTCTACAACAGAACAAAGTCCCACAACTACACTTGAATACTGCTTCACCAAACCTGCTTCTCCTGACAGCTAATTGTATCTTGTTAATATGGTTAATTTTGCTTTTAATTTTGCAGAGAATTCAGATGATGCCAGTTTATCGCGCTCAACTTCAGTTGCCACAGGGCTGAATATAATGAAAAGGCAGAAAGTAAAGACGATCTTTCCACACACAGCTGGAAATAACAAGACTTTACTTAGCTTTGCACAGGGAGACACCATCATACTTCTTGTATCTGAAGAAAAGGACGGCTGGCTTTATGGGGAACATGAGTCAACCAAAGTGTAAGACAATCGATTTATTACCCAATTTGAACACGAAGGAAAAGTGTCTCTAGCAGGAATTAGTACATGGTTTCCACTTTTTCTGCTGTCACTGACTGGGAACTTCTATCAGGTGAATCTCACTGCACGTATTTCAGGGAGATCTTGTATACTAGAACCCAGGCCTTTAAATATTACATCTTCTAGAGTCTGTTTTGTCCAGTGTTGACTTCTGAAAAATCTTTCCAATTTTATAACATATGAAATTGAAATCCTTTTCCATTACAGAAAAGGATGGTTTCCATCATCATATACTAGACCACTAGAAGAAACAGAAGAAAAAGCCTTTGTTCCAGTGCCAAGGTAATATTTAGAATGGAATGTGCAAAAAATACCCAAATCTTCTTTCTTACATTCTTTCAAACGTATTAGAAATATTAGTTTTCTGCTTACACCATCAGTCGCTCAGCAACACGTAGAGGAAGCACCTCCTAACTGTCTGTACTGCCACACCTAGATCACATTGCCATGTGGCTACAGAGACCTAAGAACGATCATCACTCCAACTTTACAGTCCCACGGACTTCAGAGAGATCATATGCCTTAACTACACATTTTTGTTCTTTCCTGGACAAAAGACAAGGAGGAAAGGTGTATTATGGAACTGAACATGTTACCTGCTGGGTTCTGTCTTGCAGCACTGCGCCGGTTAGAAGTATCAGTTCAGTCAATCTTGCAGAAAAAGCTGGTGTTGTCCTCCCACCACCAGACTATCTGGGTTCAACTCCAGATAAGAGAATGGAGTCTTCCAAAGGTACTGCTGCTAAAACACCAGCTGAGAAACCAGAAAGTGCAGGTCCGGTAAGTAACCAGTGCCATTAATCTGAATGTTCTGCTTACTCCTCTTGACCTGCTTAACTGAGCTCTTCAATGAGGCCCTTGATACTGTTCTATACTCTCCAGTATGATTATGCTTTTCTGGTATCTCAGTCTACCTAGAGGAGAACGGTGACAAATTGTTTGGGGATACAATGAAGAGCACTAGAAGCCCCGTTCTGCACAGCAGAGAAATGGAATCTGTGAATCTTGAGAACACATTCTTATGGAAAGCAGTACTTTCAAATTAAGTGTCTGGGAACTTCTAAAATAATAATGAAGAAAGAGTCTATATTTTGACACACACACGGTTTTCATTTTTGGGTAAGAAAAGCAATAAGCCTTAACAATTATATAATGTCAGATTTCTACCCAGGTTCATTTATTCTGACTATCTGTTGAGAGCTCTGGGGATCAACATGTCCTTCAAGTGTAATTACGCTCACAATAGTTAAAAGGTGTATCAGCCTGTGAAAGCTGCCAGGCCAGCAGTACAGAGAGTTCTTTGCCCTGTCACAAGTAAAAGGTGACGTACTGTAGACCTCTGATGCCCCACACTGCCTTGGTGTCACCATGCTGTGCCGCAGCCTGGCCTCAGGTGGCTCTCAAGAGCGGCCAGCCATGAGGACTTTCTTTCTGTAGTGTTGGTTCAGGGGGATTATGAATAAACTTAAGGCTTGTGGACTAACATTCCTGTTGCACTGAAAAACCAAGAGAAAGCTGATAGGTGAGGATGGAATTAACTAGAACTGCTTGTTCATCCTGGAGGCTTACAGCCTTTCAGCCTTTTAGGAATGGAAGACAAATGCATTCAGGTCTCATAACTGTTGTTGAGGTTCCCCCTAACGTGTAGCAGATAGACATTCACTGTGACCCCTGATTCTTACCTGGTATACAAAAGGAAGAGAATTGTACTCACAGCACAGGATTTCACTCCAGAATTACTATTTACTTTTGTTCCCTTGGAAAGCCTCAGAATTTCCTTGTTCTCCCTGCTTCTGTGCAAGTCAACAGCCACCGCTCCGCTGCCAGGCCCGAGAATGCTTTGTATGCTGGAACATGTAGTCAAAAGTTCGCTTTTGCTTTGAACCTAATCTGACACCTCCTAGAAGCAATGCAATTAGTTTGCCATTTGAAATACTTAAAATTAAATACTATTGTACTCAAAGTTTTGTGGAAAAAAGGACAAGTTTAATGTTTGCCAAAGCCTCTACATTGTGCAGCAGGCTTGGCAGCCCGTTACAGGAGCTGAGTTCATGGCACCAAGCACTGCATCCTAAAGGAACGCTGTGTCAGTGCCACACTGCCATCTTCTGGGTAATCTCAAATTCACAAAAATCGAGGAAATCTCATCA